CATATCACGCAATGTACAGAACATGACATTAACCTCTGGATTTGTACGGCGCCTTTTTGTAGGAGCAGGTTTTGCGGCTGGTTTTGCCTCTGGTTTAGAGGGAGCCTTTCTCTTGTCTCGTTGATTTGATGGCTTCGAGGTGACCTTTTGTGGCTTCTTTTGCGGTCTGCAGAAAAAAAGTAGATAAATAAGTAAAGAAAGTACCAAGATGAGCGACCAGACGGTTTAGGCAGTGAAGGAAAACAGGCAAACGTAATCACAATGGTACTGTAGTGAAGTGAGTGGATGAACGAGTGAGTGAGAGAGCAAGCAGCTCTTCGGGTTCAAAAAAAACTTGACGATTTTAAATCCACGAGTTGAACATAAACTAGCACACAAGGCAAGCACGCGAAAACAGAATTAAGCGAAGCCAAGATATTTGAAATAATTGCAAACATTATTATTTATAGTAGAAAAGAGTAAGTTCAACTTCAAAATGGTGGGAACTAGCGGTAAACTAGTGTGAGCTGCGTTGGTGTTTCTAAAGAAACAGTGTAAAAGGATAAACTTAACACCGTGAAAAAGTATGTGAAATAACTTACTGACGCTTCGGACGTTAATCCGAATTAATTAAAACGTTAATTATTATCTATAGTAGAAAAGAGTAAAGTTCAACTTCAAAATGGTGGGAACTAGCGGTAAACTAGTGTGAGCTGCGTCGGTGTTTCTAAAGAAACAGTTTTGTACAAGGATAAACTTAACACCGTAAAAAAAGTATTTGAAATAACTTACTGACGTTTCGGACGTTAATCCTTCGTCGGAGTAAAGTTATACTCTACTAGTTACTCAGACTGACGGACAGATAGAAACTAATACCTCGTATTCCTTGAGCTTCGTCTGTTCACTACWGGTTCTTCTTCCTCCAGGCCGCTCTCTTCTTCCTCACTACTGCTATCTGATTCTTCACCCTGTTCCTCGTCCTCTTCATCTGAAGAATCATTACTGCCAGACTCCTCTTCCTCGGACTCCTCGCTCTCTTCTTCGCTCTCTTCCTCAATTTGTCTTTTACGWGAAACCTTTCTCCTTTTCCTACTTTCTTCTTCGTCGTCTTCTTCAAGTTGTCTTTTTCGGGTACTTCTTCTATTTCTAGTTGAGCTTGCAATGCTGTTAGATTCATCAGAAGCTCTTCTCTTTGCAGGTTTTTTAGCGACTTTGGAGTTCATTTTTTTAGCTTTACCTGATATATAACATTGTAATTAAATATGTATTTAAAAAATTATTATCATAATATCATCATCATCATCATTACTAATATCACCAATATCAGTGAATGGCATTTTTTCCATGTACAGGCGCAGTTTCGTTACATTTTAAAACGCATGCGCACTTRTAATTTCAAGTTTCAAATAGAGTTCCAGTAAAACTAAGACTAAGAACCTGAGAATTAAGAATAATCATCGTGTTTTGCAGCTGAGTTTTATTATATTTTTTCTCCAGAGTCTACTTTTATAACTACAATGCTAAACTACCACTCAGATCAAAAACTGCTTCGTCTACTTTGCAAAAGTAAAGGTTCTTTGGGCGCTGTCTATTTATCAGAACTGACTGGCCCAGAGAAAATGCAATTATTAATTATTCGTGTTAAATTACAAGACTGAAGTTCTAAATTTTATCCGTTATTTTAATGGACTTTTAATGGAATTTAAAAAACTCGAAAATAGACATTACGGTATCTACTTCTAAATAGAATGGTTGGCCGGCCAGTTCTGCTTACGAATGCGCCCTTAGTTACAGGTTTTTACGGTAATTAACTTCACTAACCAGACTGTTGCCKTGTCTTCACTTTCTTAGGCTGTTTGCACTCCATGCAAGACCATGCACCCCTTGGTGTATATCGAAGRGGTGGGTCGTGGCATTCTTTATGGAAGACTAACGGACATGTATCACAGCATATTAGTTCATCACCTCCTTCTTGACATAAATGACAATAGTCTTCCGATTCATCCTCGTTTGATTCCTGTTCATAAGATAAGGTGTTAGTTATATGTTGGTAAGCAAGCTTGTTACCCTTTAAAGGCCCAGTGCGCACCATTATGCTTTGAGGACCGCGAGGGCCGGGAGGCGGCCATTTTCAGTTTACCGAAAGTCTACAAATTGTACTTCGAATCTTCGACCATCTCACTTTTCTAAGCACTTTAAATGCTAACATTAGAGTTTTCAGCCGTCTGAAATTCCTTTTATTATGGTGATATTTGGATACTAGAATTTGCCCGGGCCAACCCTGAGAATGACTTGTATAAATACCTGAGATTCGTAAGAAATAAAAGATTCATCCAGAACTTTATCACATCTTGCTGATCTTGCTGTACTCACAGGCTAAAAACAAATTTCTCATTAATTAGATTAGGATCTTCTGAACTAAATATTTATATGAACACTTACCCGACAAGACATACACTTCCACTCCCCCTTAGGGATTTTTGTCAATGCAGGTCGTAGACAAAACAAGTGAAAACCAAGATTGCATTCATCACAGAGCAACAGGACRTCATCYTCGTTACCTTTCTTGCGACAGATTCTGCATCTCTTTAAAAGAGAATCAGACATTAATGGCTAGCATTATAATAAAGAGAAAAGAGTGTACACAACGCTAGGAGATGAAAAATAGGAAGTATGAAAGGATAACAGGGGTCAGGAGAGAGAGCAGGCCCCATCAGCTACAATCGTATGCAAAATAAACAGAACACCCTGCCCCTTTCCCCACTGCAAGGTTGCACACACGTTCCTTTCGTCTCTTTGTGATTTTGTAGCTATTCATTGACGAACAACATTGTGAAAGGGGAGGGGAGGTTGTAGTAACACAATCATAGATGGTGTTTCACATAATTTTGCAAAAAATTGTAGGTCTGCCACTGAATATTATCTTCCAAAATATCAATCTGATTCAATCAAGCATTTGTGTTCTTGATCAGCACTGATAACGTACATGTACGTCTTGTGTTTGTCAATTGCGGTGGCCAAGAAAAACAAAAATTTGGGGTTTAAGATTGCTATGAATGAATGAATGAATGAGAAGTGTCCGAAAAAAAAGAAGAGAAATGAAATAAAGGTACTCACGGCACCCTCAGCGGACTTGTCCCATAGTACGGCAGTGTCYAGTATCTCCAACAGAAGGTGCAACTGAGATAAAGTTGTTGCATCTTCGACACACTGAGTCCATTTCTCCATA